CCCCCCAGAACATTCCCGGGTCTGGAGCCGCCCAATGAGACCCCCAGAACATTCCCGGGTCTAGAGCAGCCAATGAGACCCCCAGAACATTCCCTGGTCTGGAGCAGCCAATGAGACCCCCAGAACATTCCCTGGTCTGGAGCAGCCAATGAGACCTCTGCCTTGTAGCCAATGAGACCCCCAGAACATTCCCTGGTCTAGAGCAGCCAATGAAACCTGTTGGGACAGGAAGTCATGGGAAATCCCTCCAGTGGGGGGGCACGCTTTTTCACACATTGTTTACAACCTGCAGGTTGTCACCGATCAGGAGTTCCCGGCGGGGGCTGGGATGACAGCGACAGCGGCCACAGCTCACAGGACTCCGCCCAGGACAAATCCTCCCGCAGTCTGTCCTCCGACGCCGCCAGCAAGACCGGCAGCGACTGCCAATCCCGGAGCAGCAACAGGGAGAGCGCAGACCCCACAGACAGGTAAAAGGGGCTTTTACTGGTGGGCATCCTTGCTCTCTGTGGGAAGCAGCGGTCTCTCCACAGAGGTCCAACATCCTGAGTCAGAGCTAGAACTTTCCAATCAGCATGGAGAATGAGCTTTGCTGGTTAGACAGTCTGTAGGGTATGTACTATTGACATCTCCGTTCCTTTCCCCTCTCCACGCAGAGTGGAGCCTTCTCACCCCGGCGATTGTCTGCAAGAGGCTCAGCTGGTTCTGACGGTGACCCGGGGGGACAGAATGTTCCTGACGCAGGAGGAAGTGCAGCACTTCATCAGAGGGTGAGTGGTGACACCGCGGGGACGGAGACTCTGCGCTGACGGATTCCTCCTGACAGCCTGCAGACACAGACTACGGTCAAGGTTAAAGCCGCTCGGCGACTCGTGGCGTGACGGCGCGGCACAGCCAATTAAAGGGAACCCGTTGAGGGGTTTTTAAGACGTTTTTGGTCCAATTTTTTACAATTTAGATGAATAAAACACAATTTGTCATTATAAAAGTACAACAGCGGCCTTTACCCAACGCATAGGCAGGATGCGCATTCTGATTAGTGGTGCTGTACGGTGATTGCACTGTCCTATCCCCTCCCCCTTTTCCCATTGGTCTGATTTGAGCTGGACCCGATGAAGCTGGCTTGTCCTGTAGATTAGATTATTTTATCTCGGCGATTCGTATCTGAGCAGATTTGGCCAAAATAGTGATGGAACAGGAGCTTTCCCTCCTCCGCTCCGGCATAGGCTGCGTTGTCCACCGTTATGCTGTAGTAGGGATCGGGCGCACAGTCTGCGAGGGGGTCAGTTTCCGGGTTGGGGGTTTGTTTGTTAGTCGGATATATTTAGTTATTTCAGCAACAAATCTGAAAACGACACCCGGGTTTATAAAGGGTAACTCCGACTAAAACCTTTGCATTGGTTTTGCAAGGCTGATCTGCTGATGAGTCCCCCAT